ACTGCCATATATGGGCTATATAGGTATGTGCCACTGTGAAGGGTATGGTTTTCAAGCAGTTTACTCTAGGATAGGGTATATAAATCAGAGCGTTTGGCTCTAGAATAGGGTATCATTTTTCAGGAAACTGATCAGTTGGTTGAAGATTTTATCTAGACTAGGTACACAGCTACCCTAGGATAGGGGGATTTGGAGAGTTTACTCTAGTATAGGGTAGCAAAATTCTGCTGAACTAGCTCTGGTAAAGGTTAAGGGTTCCAGGCTCCCAGCGGCACATCCCCACCCAGAAATTCCTAAAGTGCCCCCCCCCGGGTCTCTACTGTCATCTGGGTGAAAAACTGTCGCTCCGTAAAGACCTTAAACAGTGCCAAGGAGGTCTGAAATGCAGTCAGAATACAAAGGAAAACAAGAAGACGCTAAAGGTAAGCTTCAAAGCGATATTCAATGTACATTTTGGTAATTTAGTGAGCCAAGAATATTTCTCCATACAACGTCTTATAATTTTCTCGCTGTATGAATAATTAATTAGCTAAGTAGGATAATGTTGTTCAGGGCTCTCATAGTGAGCTTGGGCTACCTGTGGTTTTTCTTTTTCAGAAAAACTCTCTTCTTGCGAAGACATTGTGATTCAATCCTTACTTGTAATTCCATAGCTGGTGAAGGCAATGAAATGCGAGTTCCTTAATTTACGTCACATGACGTCATATGTGAGCCTGCTAGTTTGCATGATTAGCGGCGCGGGTGTACCGCAAAAATGTAGCCTTCAAAAATTGGTAAAAGAATCGCGTTTCGTTCAAACCGGAAAATTTTTTCGCAGAAGTTATTTTAATAAGGTATGTTTCAGATAAGAAAATATATAATTTTAGGTGATGGGCACTTTAAGCATGTTTACAAAAAAGGCCTCCTCAGCGACTTGGAAGACAGCCAGTATTAAAAGGCGGAAACAGGGCCAGAGAGAGGGTCGCCCCACCACTACTCGTCTGCAAAAACATCCTTTTGAACTACAACAGCCGTAACTGCGTTCAAGAGTTAGTTTCAGTTCAACTGTCTGGCTACAAGTTTTGACTGGCTTTAAGACCCTGATAACTACAATTGACTGTGTTGTTGAAATGGAAACGAAGAAGCGACCGATCAACAACCCTCTAGTGTTTTCGTCGATAGTTTTATCTTTTGCTGCCTGTTTCGTGGCATTGATTCACGTCGAGATCGAGCTTCACTCTCATCGAAAAATGCTTCAAGCCTTGACTCAACAGAGAGAAGAAATTATCCACTCACGAGGCACTGTGAACGATAAATCGATTGTCTCCGCGCTGTGTAGTGACACTGGTAAAGGTGAGTGCTTTGGTTTACTAGTTCGATTCTCGCAGGCTTAGAGTTCGAACTGTTGCTTCACATTGGAACTTTCTGTCAAAACTTTAAGCTTTCCGCAACAACGCCCTTCAATAGTTAGATTCAGAAACTAAGACGTTATTTTTTGACTCTAAGAAGAACTATTTTTTTTAATTGTACATAATACTGATCAGGAACTACATTCTGGCGTTTCGGTTTGAGCTAGTTTGGTACAAGTCGAGAAGATTTCCCTTTCTCTTCTTAAGGGCTGAAACCTAACGCCGTGACAAAGCGTAAGATATGGCGATTCAATTTCAGTATTTGTTGATTACAATTTCCTTTCGTTTTAGTCCATGAAAAATATGGCATGCAGTCCAATATCAGATAAAGTTTGTCTTGAACCAGTGTTGTAAGCTATTGTGTTACTGCATACTTTAGTTTCAGTTATTACAGGGGGTAATTGAATCGATCAAAACATTCTTTCACTGAGAGATCATGAGAGTGACATAAATTATCCCTCAGTTGCAGAAATACAAATTCGTCACAAACGTAACGCCAAAAATGTAAACAAGAAATCAAACGTCAGTGAGATCATTAGTAGGGAGGACATAAGGAAGGAAGTTAAACTGGCGATGAGTAACCTGGCCTGCATGGCGCATTGCCCAAAGGGAGTCAGGGGAAGACGAGGAAGGCCAGGTCCCCCAGGCAAACACGGACCAGTTGGGCCCCAGGGACCACAAGGACCAAGAGGTCCTCAAGGAGATCAGGGGCCTCCTGGACTTAGAGGCGAACAAGGTCCTCAAGGACCCAAGGGCGATCCTGGTGAATCCATCTCAGCTCCTTCGATTGTGTCACCTCCGATGTCCATGGTGGTGAACGAAACTGGTATAGCGTCACTACAGTGTGAGGTTAAGGGAAATCCGGTGCCCCAGGTCACGTGGCTGAAAGAAAATTCCAGTCTTCCTGCCGACAAACGAATCATGCAATCACGTGGTGGCCTTATGATAAGAGATGTGACGTCACAAGATGGAGGAGTGTACACGTGCAGGGCAAAAAATATTCTTGGAGTCGTGACCTCATCATCCACATTGACTGTTCAAGGTAAATGTCTTGTATTTATTTTCCATTGAAGTCTTAATTTACCGTCATTTTCTCTTACTGTCATACATTTAAACAAGGTGAATACTGTTACATTACTAACAAAGGTACGTACATATTTATCGAAGCTTCTGAAGAACTTAGAGGCTGTTATAAGGTACCGTAAATGCTCGAATTAGCGCCCGGGGCGCTTATTTAATTTTCTAAGGCGAGAGGGGGGCGCTAATTCGAAGGGGGGAGCTTATTTGAAGGGCGGCGCTTATTTCGTTTATCAATTTTTAGCCTCAAAATTAGACTATCTGTATTTCTATTTAAAACTAAACTGCAACATAAAAATTCAAAAACCTTATAGAAAACTACTTTTTGCGAACTCGAAACGTTCTTAAGACTTTTTCATTAACAATGTCACATTTCATCAAAAGAACCGCGTATAGACCGTATACGTCTCGTACATCGTACCGAGTACCGAAATTCATTTTTTCTCGGGGGAGAGGGGGGGGGGGGGGGGGGGGGGGGGGGGCTTATATGAAGGGGGCGCTTATTACAAATTTTGAGCCTTAGGAAGGGCCCTAATTCGAAGCGGGGCGCTTATTTGAAGCTGGGCGCTAATTCGAGCATTTACGGTATACAGTTGAGACTGTTTTACGAAAGTCTTATTTGTTCCCGATACCACTAACACCCCAGAGGTTGTTAAGAGAAGATTAGGATTAGTCCCAAGCAGAAAAGAAAAAAGAAACCGTTCCCAATGCTAGAACAACAACAACAACATATTGATTTAGTTCCTGCGCTTCCGCTGGCGACTTTAAGAGTTTGGTTTTCATTAAGAGCTCAAAATTGACGGAAATTCACTTTTGAATAGGACTCTAACTTCGACTTTGGTTTTCATTAAGAGCTCAAAATTGACGGAAATTCACTTTTGAATAGGACTCTAACTTCGACTCTGTCACTAATGAAATCCAGCCTTAAAACACAATTAACTGTAGGCTCGACTTCTTAGGGGTACGGTTGTTTTACACTGCCTACATACAGACGCAGAACGGAGAAAGTAGGCCACCTACTTGACTAAGTGGCAATACAGGAAATTCCTCGAGGGGGGCTTTAACGCTTTTAGGCGTGATTTTCTTTTTCTTGTGTCTGTTATTTTCAGTTGTGGCCTTGATCACAAGAAAGCCCTCCTCTGTTATCGCTGAAGAAGGAGAAAACGTAACCCTGGTGTGCAAAGCTTCTGGTCTGCCGATACCAACGATCAAATGGCAAAAACCATTAGGTTATTTGCCAAGAGGAAGGATTGCAGTGATCTATGGGAATATGACTATACTTAGTGTAACTAAAAAGGATACTGGGACTTACGTATGCACAGTAAAGAATCTCCTTGGAGAAGACTCCGCTTTGGTCGTGATAACAGTGATTGACAGGCTGAAATTTACCCTGACACCTCCTCTAAAGGTTGTCGCATCTGAGTTCAACAACCTGATGCTAAATTGCAAAGCTCAGGGAGCCCTAGAAATAACCTGGAAGAGGACCAACAAAAATCTTCCTCAAAACCATGTTTATATTTCAAACGGAACTTTGTTACTCAAGAAGGTGACCACAAATGACGCTGGATCCTACACATGTGTAGCAAAAAATTATCAACGAACAATCAAGGCATCGTCTACTCTCGAAGTGTACAACAAACCTTTGTCCTGTAGCAGTATAAAATCAGGCCGCAGTGGAAGCTCTTCAGGTAATTATATTACTGACCCTGATGGCAAAGGAGGCGTGGCTCCGTTCAGTGTGTATTGTGACATGAGTGACAAGGGAGGAGTTGGCGTGACAGTCATAAGTCACGACAGCGAGAGAAGAACATATGTCGGTAACATTCCTGGATGTGAGTGGACTAACCCTGGATGTTACAGGAAAGATGTAACTTACAGTAGAGTCAACATCGCTCAGCTAGCAGCCTTAACTAGAATTTCACAGAACTGTGAACAGTTTATCAAGTTTGAGTGCTACAATGATGTTGCCTTTGTACAGGAATCAGTTGCCTGGTGGGTGTCACGTGATGGAAAGAAAATGACCTACTGGGGAGGAGCTGGTGGATCAGCCAACATGTGCGCATGCGGAGTAAAACGCTCTTGCTCAAGTGGTAAAAAGTGCAATTGTTACAGCGGTAACAGCGGCTGGAACGAGGACAGTGGTCTTCTGACGGACAAGTTCGCTCTTCCTGTGTCACAAATCAGACTGTCAGACCTGAATGATCCACGTGAAAAAGGATATCATACATTAGGAAAGCTCAAGTGTTATGGCCTGGAATAAGAGCTCGTTAGTTATTTTAAGATAATTTTGGGTTGTGAAAAGTTACGTCATGCAGCTGAATGTAGTAAAGGAAAAAACAGTTTCATGTATTAAAGAAGGTCAAAGAACGCAAAAACGCAATTTTGAAAGTGAAATATGAATTTTAAAAAGTAAAGACTGATAAAATGAAAAGTGGCAAGAAGTTGTTTGGTCAGCAATCAGTATTTCAAACAAGAATATCTTATCATATGTTTACTTACTATAAGTTAATATTGTAATCACACAAAATCACGTTTTCCCAATTTCGCACCAACGTGGCTTAAATAATTGCCGTAAAGCACAGACTACCAAATAAAAAAAAACCCGTAAACGTCCATCTTTCCTTAAGTTCTCCGTAAATTCAATCTAAATCGCCTGGAAAACAGCCGAGATATAAGCTATTTAAAAGATTCAGCACAAGCGTTTTGGTGAAGTGTCCACCGCTGCCTTACTCCTTTATATTTAAGAAAAGCCTTTTTTTACAAAAACACTAAAGGAGGGAACAACATTTAAGGTGTAGATGCCAGCATACGCGTAATCAATTTTTAAGTATGGCTTTACAAAAAAGACCCGGAGGTCAGTCACCGAAGCTTTATACGGGGAGGTCCAACCCCTTACCCCATACCATTTTGGCCAGAGAAGGAACTCCTTTCGTATACCTTGAATTGACTCCTACTAACAGATGGTTCCTCTTTCACATACCTAGTTTAGAACACTGCATCTCTTTTACCATGAATAAACCAGAAATTTTCTGGTCTCTTTCATATCCCTTAACATGAGCCTGGAAGCCCATTTTGGTACCTCAGTTTACAGACCGAAATGAAAGATCTCCCCGCCCCAGGGACGGATCAAAAGCCACACAGTAACTCGACCTAAACTTCCTTTTTAACTACGACAACCGCAACTGCGTACTTGAAGTTGTTTCAACTGTTTTGTTGCAAGTCTTTTTTTACTGACTTTGCCCCTCTGAGCACTAAATTTTACTCAGCAACACTCTAGCGTGTTCGTTAGTTGTCTTCTCTTTTACTCTCTGTTTCGTGACATTGATCCATGTCGAGATCGAGCTTCACGCTCATCGAAACATGCTTCAAGTCATGACTCTACAGAGAGAAGAAAGTATCCATTCACGACGCACTGTGAACGATGAATTGATTGCTTCTGCGCTGCGTAGTGACAATGGCAAAGGTCAGTGCTTTTTTTTAATTGTTCCCTAATTTCTGGCAAAATTAGAATTGTTCCTTTTGCAAGAAATCTTTATTTCGTAACATTGTCCGATTTAGTTAGATTCAGTAACTAAGCCGTTATTTATTGACTCTAAAAGGAACTAATAAGGTCAGTTCCCTAATTGTATCTTATCAGAAGCAACATTCTGTAGCATCGGTTTCAGCTGTTGTGGCATCGAAGGGTTGGGAAATAATCTGCGTAAATGTTAACATAAGTCTCAGTGCCTCAGGTTTTAGCTCAGTACAGTCAGTACTGAAAAAATTATAAAAAAAGGAAGGAGAGAGGGCAGTTTCACAACCGATCATGAGAATAACGTGCTGAATTTTTCCTTAGTTGCAGAAAAAAACTTTCGTCAAAAACGCAACGCCAAAAATGTAAACAAGAAATCAAACGTCACTGAAATCGTCAGTCGTGAGTATATCAAAAAAGAAGTTCAGCTAGCGATAAGTAACCTGGCCTGCGTGGTGCATTGTCCGAAGAGAGTCAGGGGAAGACGAGGCAGGCCTGGTCCCCCAGGTAAACACGGGCCAGCTGGGCCTCAGGGACCACAAGGACCAAGAGGAACTCAAGGCGATCAGGGGCCTCCTGGACCTAAAGGCGATCAGGGGCCTCAAGGACCCAAGGGTGATCCGGGTGAATCCATCTCAGCTCCTTCGATTGTGTCACCTCCGATGTCTACGGTGGTAAGCAAAACTGGTATAGCGTCACTGAAGTGTGGGGTCAAAGGAAATCCAGTACCCCAGGGCACGTGGCTGAAGAAAAATTCCAGTCTTCCCTCCCATAAACGAATCATGCAATCACGAGGTGACCTTGTGATAGGAGATGTGACGTCACAAGATGGAGGAGTGTACACGTGTAGGGCAAAAAATATTCTTGGAGTCGTGACTTCATCGGCCACATTGACTGTTCAAGGTAACTACTAAATATTAATGTCCCAGTGTACAGGTGAAAAAATCTACAGAAGCTTTGAGTTAACAAAGCTTAGCGATTCATATTCAAACTACAGAAAATTCGTTATAGGCTTAATTGAATCGCAATCGTAAGAATCAAAATGCTTCCATTTTCTTCTTACTCCCCTCGGCTATTATGACTCCGTCGAATTACGGGCTCGTGATCGACGGAGTTGCAAGCGAATTAGAGCGCTGTTTGTACTAAATCATCACACGTGAGCTTTTGCTTACAACCTAAACTTCGAATCTGTCATTAACAAAATCCAGCCCCTTCTCAGGAGCTGTGACTTTACGCTGGCTGCAATAAATGGGACGGAAGAAGTCGGTCACGAACTTCAAAGTAATAGTCTAACTGCTAGCTTATTTTTTAAGTTACTTGACGTGCATTTTTTTGTGTCTGTTAATCAGTTGCTGCCTTGGTCACAAAAAAGCCCTCGTCTGTTATCCTTGAAGAAGGAGAAGACGTAACCCTGGTGTGCAAAGCTTCTGGTCGGCCGATACCAACCATCACATGGCAAAAGCTATTGGGTCATTTGCCAAGAGGAAGGACTGCAGTGATCTATGGGAATATGACTATACTTAGTGTAACTAAAAAGGATACTGGGACTTACGTATGCTCAGTAAAGAATCTCCTTGGAGAAGACTCCGCTTTGGTCGTAATAACAGTGATTGACAGGCTGAAATTTACCGTGACACCTCCTTTGAAGGTTGCTGTATCTGAGTTCAACAACCTGACGCTAAATTTCAAAGCCCAGGGAGCCCTAGATATAACCTGGAAGAGGACCAACAAAAATCTTCTTCAAAACCACGTTTTTATTTCAAACGGAACTTTGTTTCTAAAACAGGTGACCGCAAATGATGAGGGATCATACACATGTGTTGCAAGAAATTATCAAAGAACAATGGACAAGGACATGTGTTGTCGAAGTGCCCAAACCCATGTCCTGTAGCAGTATAAAATCAGGCCACAGTGCAAGCTTTTCAGGTAATTTTATTATTGACCCTAATGGCAAAGGAGTTGTGGCTCCGTTCAGTGTGTATTGTGATATGAGTGACAAAGGAGGAGTTGGCGTGACAGTCATAAGTCACGACAGCGAGAGGAGAACATATGTTGCTAACATCCCTGGATGTGAGGTTGATAAACCAGGATGTTACAGTAAAGATGTAACTTACAGTGGAGTCAGCACCGCTCAGCTAGCAGTACTCACTCGCATTTCGCAGAACTGTGAACAATTCATCAAGTTTGAGTGTAATAATGGTGTAGGATTTGTACCAGAGTTGGTTGCCTGGTGGACGTCACGTGATGGGAAGAAAATGAACTACTGGGGAGGAGCTGGTGGATCATCTAATATGTGCGCATGCGGGGTAACAAACTCTTGCTCAAGTGGAAAAAAAATGCAATTGTTACAACGGTGGCAGCGGCTGGAGAGAGGACAGCGGTCTACTAACGGACAAGTCTGCATTACCTGTGTCACAGATCAGACTGTCAGACCTGAATGACCCAAGTGAAGAAAGATATCATACATTAGGAAAGCTTAAGTGTTATGGCCTGGCATGAGATTTCTTACAAAAATATTGAGTTATTGCAGAAATTTTTGTGGTGATAATGTCATGCAGCTAAATGTCGCAAAGAAAACTACCCTGTAAGCAGGTAGTTCCATATTTGCATGCTTCCCGGCATTTAGTTATAGACCAGAGATTGCGTCAGAATGGGAAACAACCCACTAGAATGCCAATGCGAGTTGTTTAAGTGGTCTCTTCAATTATCCAACTACGAATAATCTCATTTACATCAGCTGCTCCAGACAGCACCTTTGAAATCGCCCAAACGGCTTGGAAACTAAAATTTGATAGCATTTTGTTTTGAATGAGGGTATGGGCGTGATTTTCAATTGAACATGCCTAGCGAGCGTAAAAATTGCATTCAGTCTGAGGATTAATGAGAGAGGAGAAATTTTATATGTTTAGGCATGGCAAAATTAAAGGGACCATTGGTACTTAGAAATAACTTCGATCTCATAGGCATGGAAAAAATGAGTTCATGCCCTCGCAGCCCAAAATTGACATACATTGTCTGAAAGCCTCGATTGGCGTTACTCACAGCGTCATGATAGCAATCTGCGTTCAAACGCTTCAAAGCTAAATGCTTTCAAAGCAAACCTGGTCATTTGTCAGTGAACTCATACAAAACAGAAGAATTGCGCTTTTTTCATTTATATAAAATAAATAAATAATCCACTTATCATAAGTTTGTATGAAGTGCGGGATGCACTACTCACTAGGAGAGAGTTCTGCTGGAAGACGAAAAAAAGACATACTTATGCCTAATTCATTGCAATAATTTTAATAAGCTTGAAGGCAGAACCCCACAAAACATATATAGAAATTGCATCGGCTGGTAATTGCAGGAATAAATATAGTAAGCAAAAAAAATTAATTTTGCTACAAAGAGACTCGCACCCGCCCAAAAAACCTCAGGTACGCTACTCCTACTCGCCGATGTTGCACGCTAGACCTCTAGGCAATCCATGGAGAGGCTGTTGCCTTGGCGCTATATTTAAGAACTGTATCGGTGCCTTTATAGATCATTGTTAGCGATATTTTATCTATATAGATTGGTTTTTCTCATTCTAGGAAATCGAACACGATTAATGTTGACAATGATAAGGATTAGCACGATTTACAACAGATTACCGACAGTTTTTTATCGGTTTTTCACGATTTTGGTCGTGGTACAGTAAAGTAAGAGACAGTGAGTCACTTTTATTTCAATTGGCTGTTAATCGTGATTAACCGTTGAAAACCGCCGCAAACTATATTAAATCACACAAAAACCTTTTGTAAACCGTCAGTGAAATGTCGACCGTGTCATTTTAACAAAGTTCGAGTGCACTACACACAGTTTAAAAGTTTTAATTAGTAAAGTTTTAGCCTTTCATCGATTTTGGTATTTCAGCGAGGTATAAAAAGTCCACAGTCTAGTGACTCCTGAGAAATAACATTAATGGTCCTTTTTACCCTGTTACAGAACTCTTTATATGATTTGCGAGTAACGCCATGTTCAAGAGGGCCTTTCTCTAACGTCCCAGACACGATGTGCAAAAATGTTCTCGTAGGGTATAGTAAGTATGGACGTCCTCGGTGACACTTATGACTGCGGGTCACAGACCAGTGTTTCCAACCGATAAATGTGTTAAAAGATGACTCTCTAATTAACAGTGGCCACTATTTCGTGACTTAAACACCTTCGAGACAATCTTGGACAAAAGAAATGGAAAACCTAGACCCCCCCTTCCCCCCAAATCAAGGATGGGAAAATGGCGCGTTTTTGCCCTTCGCGCGCCTTCATCCTTGATTTGGGGGGGATGGGGGTTTGCTGTTCCATTTTATTTTGTCCAAGATTGTAGCTAAACTAAGGTCCGAGATCTCTCGCCGGGCTGATGTTTCATTCCCAGTTTTTACTCGTCCGTGAGTCTTAGACTTAGACCAAATAAGTTGGACATTATTGTTAGTCTAAAAAGGCTTGTCCTTGATCTACAACAACATTTTACATTATTTTTGCTTTCTTTTTTTTACCAAAAATTGATGAAAGAAAAACTTAATTTTTTTTATTCAAATTATGGGTTAAGCCCTTAGGAAATACACGATATTTTGACAATTTGAAAAATGGACATTTTTTTTAGTCTAAAAAGGCTTGTTCTTGATCTACAACAACATTTTACATAATTTCTGGCTTTTTTCACCAAAAATTGATGCAAGAAGAAATTGAATTTTTTGATCAAAATGGACATTTTTGTAGTCTAAAAAAGCTTGGTTTTCATCCACCAAATCATTTTACATTATTTCTGGCTTCTTTTCACTTATTTTTTTTGAAGGAATAATTGAATTTTTGACCAAAATCAAAATCATTTTGGTTCTTTCAAAAATGGACATTTGTTTTAGCCTAAAAAAGATTGGTTTTTATCCACCACATCATTTTAAATTATTTCTGTTTTTTTTTTTCACGAAAAATGTTTTAAAGGAACAACTGAATGTTTTGGCCAAAATCATGCGCTAACCCCGTTGGAAAAATCTGATTTTTGGCACTGAAAAATGAACGTTTCTTAGCTATAGTCCAGAAATATATATTTTTTTAACCGGAACAACATGTAACGTTTAACGTTAGCAATTGATTTTGCAGCACGACGCCGTTGTTCAAAACAGCCTATTACTAAGTTGGTGAAGAACACAACTCCCACAGACAAAATCAATGCAATCAACATTGAATACGACTCAGGTAAAACTCGCAAAATATACTCCGTTACCAAAGTCATTTTAAAATTCGAGTGAAACAAACACTGAACAAAGTAATGACAGAACCCCTGCCTTTTTTTCGCTTTTGCAACCTTTGCCAAGTATAAATATAGACATATCTGTTACATCCCAGAACCTTTACGCAGTTTTTCAACTCCTCCTTGGCTTTTACCACATTCAAGCTCTTTGCATTTTTCCGCCTCGTATTTCACGCCTTGAAGTTACGACACAAAACGTCTTCGGCAAGTCGTCGGGCTTCTTCGGAATTGAACGTCGCGTCAGGGATCATTTTAAAGGAGTTTTCCAGGAACGGATTTGACGTGTTGCCATATTTTTCGTCTCCCATGGGTGTAAGCCGGGATAGAGGGTGTTTGTTAAGTCGTCAGCGTTCGGCGGCGTGAAATTAGGCTTTCCGGTTTTTTTCAGTACTCCTCGTAGTGGTATCTCTATAGACGTGCTTACGGAGCTTTTCATTGGTAATCAATAGTTCTGCGTAAGCCGTTTTGTCCCATCCTCGGGCAATATGCACACCTCAGACGTATTGCTAGATTTTCCAAAAAAGTACCCCGCTCTTCTGAAAGACAAGGACCTTCGTTTCTGGTCGTCAATTAGCTGAAAAAACAAGCCTCTTGTTTGATTCGCTCAAATGCTCAGTTTCGTGGTAAAAACAACAATGAGTGAGTTTAATTGAAACTAAATAAATGAGCCATTTGTTCGCTAAGACGGTCTTTCATTTGAATGGCCACACTTAGTTTAGGCTGACTTATCCCTAGACTCGAAAGTTAGAGCCCCCTTTTTAACAGCCAAATAAACAATTTGAAAGCAAAGTCCCAGTGGCTCCTAAGTGTTTATCAGGGTGTTCTTACTGTCATTCAGACTCTTATCGACTCTAAGCTTGTAATAAGAAGTTAAAGAAGTTACACAATAGCCTCCTTGTTCTGTCTATAAAATCTGAAACTAGAAGACTGTACACAAATTCCGCTCTGCTTCGATCGTTCCGCTAGAAGCTTCATTTCTTAGCAAAGTCTGGCTAGGAAGTGTTCACATGATTATGAGCTTGCGGACTGAAGACTTTAATTCTCTAAATAGTCTATATTGTGCGTGAAAGAGAGAGTCAACGTTAATCAAATTTAGTAATGCGATTGCAACGATCATCTTGAAGTTATAATTATAAGAAAGTTTGTTTTAGCCAATTTCTCGCGCTCCAACAAAAAGATAATCTCCTTGTCCTTAACTTAAAAGCTTTCATCCTGAGGGGATTACAACGGCTTATTTTGTGTGTTTTTTCTGGAAAAATAATTTCAAGATAAGCTTATTATTTTTATACTGTGAACAGATATAAATCAAGGACAATTCTGCGCGGAAAGTAAGTCGCTGAAACATAAGATATCAACCTTTCGAAAAGCAGAAAAGACACCGTTATATGACGACATCATAATGGGATTTTATGGCAAGGCATTTGATAATGGTTTGCAGGCTAAGGCGGCAGGTTCCAAGCCTATCTTATTTCCAGCCAATCAGAATTTAGGGCGTTCCGGACGTTATAATATTTCCATGCGCTCCTCCCTTTCGATCGCTCACCATCACGTTGCTCACATCGCTTGTTCGTTTGAACCAATTTTCAGCATTTTCGACCACCTCCCCTTCCGCCTGCCTG